ACATACACGTGCTTCGATGTAAAAAGCCTAATCGAACACAATTGTATCACTGATATCATCCGGAAGCATTCTGCCAAATCCATTTACTGAGGTATATTATAGTTCACAAGTACACATATTTATTATACGAAAATAATGATTCTCGTCGAATGCTAAACCACTAAAACTACTAATTATTGTAACAGTGAAGATGATAAGGAAGATATATCTGCAGGGTATGACGCCTTTTAGTTTGGATTAGTTTGTTTAAACAGTAAACCAAAAAACGCTTTGGCAAAGCAATTTTGTAATTTATAGTAATTGAGTAGACGAAAAAAACCTCTAAGTATGAAGTAATGCAATATTTTAGGCCATTCGTAGCATAACTGAGCGCTTGGGTCATGCAAACTCGATTAAAGAGAAATTACAAAAAATTTAAAAATAAAACATCTCCAGACAGCTAAAAACTGTGGAATCGCAAAAAATGTGAATAAATTTACGCCTTTTTATTGGCGGTGATGACAAGATGTCCACGTGTGGTCAAATTTGACTTCAGTGTTTTCGTGTCGACATCGGGCGGCAGTTTATACATACGATTTACTTCACGTTTGATTTCACCGAACTGATCGGTACGTGATTCATGCCTAAGATGAATGACCAGGCACTCACCGGCAACTTTCACCTAAAAATATCCATATACAGTCGCTAATCGAAAGTTCTGCAACGAATATTGAAATATAAACCAGTATAAAGCCACTTTGTGCTCTGGTTAAAAGTGTTGTATGTTTAAAGAAAGTTCCGGAGAAATGGAAATCTAAATCAAAACCTCAGTAATAACTTACTTCTTTTGAGGAGCAGAAACACTCAGACGTAACCTGCGTTGTAGCAAATGCCAACAGCAACCACACGTTGGTGAAGCTGTCGACGGTCCTCTTTTTCAACAATTGTCTACAGGCAGTGCAACTGAAGTCCCGCTACTTTTGGAATCGATCTCAACGTCAGACCACGCATGTAGGCGATGTTCGTGGGGGCTTTTACAGCTATATGGAAATTATAGGGATATAAACTGTAATTATCCATGACCAGGAGACTGGAGGTGAAAAGAGGACTTCAAATCATCTGTATATTAACAAATGAAATTGGTTTAGCATAGCGGAACCGCTGGCGAGAGAAACCAATTATCCAGTTCTGACAAATTAAGAAAAATGTAACCCTAACATATGCCAGAAAAACTCTTTGAAATAAAAACGAATTTTTGATGCTTAAGAAAACCATACGGCGCAGATATCATATTGCTTCGTGTGCAAAGGACTCTTCTTGAGACAATTATCATCGAATGATGATTTACTTATTAACTAACAGTTAGTAGGGATGATCTGTAACACCAAAAAACATTGGTTTCATATTAAAAGTAATCTGGTTAATTGCAACAGCACGAAATACTAGCCTCAATTTCCTTGGGTGTGAAGAATGACGCATCCAAAGCCACTTCGAACTTGTCTTTAGTGTTGTTTACTCGAACCACATCATCATTATGCTGTAGCGGCCAGTCCCAGTGGTCCGCACTCCAGTTATGCGTTAATTCTACTTTATCGCCCATTATACGATATTGCTCCTGAAGGAATTTATCAGTATATTTTTGAAAAGTTGCAAAATCCACACACACACACACACACACACACACACACACACACACACGATACCAGTGAATTAAGCCAGATTCAATAGCAGCAGATGTTTCTCCTCCTTTGTGCGACGTGCAGCTGCAAGTCTTTTGCTACCTCACATCAGTTCGCTCTCTCAATACTAACAGGAGAACGAAGATTTGCAAACTGTCATATAAATGATGGAAAAGCTTTCAGCGCTGATGGCATTAACATCGAACTCATCACAGCCCTAGCTCATAAATTTCAAGATTCTCCTCGTTCAATCGATATTACACTGAAACAAAATGGCTTAACATCTGTGGAAAAGTCAAAAATCATTTCTTTGTTTAGTACTAGCAATAAGGAAGATCTGAAGAAATATCGGTGGATCTACTTGCTAGCTCACACTGCTCACAACAGTTATTTTGAATTACTCTGCTCCTCGGCAAATGGCAACCAAGACGGGATGACTGTAAAGAAATTAAGAACAGTGGGGCAAATTTTCGTCACAGACGAGTTGCTTAAATGTTTTAAAAACTGTGCCTCTTCGGCAGCTACAAAGAATTTGCTAGCACACAGCTGAATTCTATGCTAAAATCTTACAGAAAAATCTTTGAAGAAGAGGCAGTGTTTAAGCAGAGATTGCTCGGCCCATTAGGGCGTTGCTGGCCATTTCATTTTACACATCCTGCAGGACGTGTTAAAGGGTGATTCCTATCGCC